CTCAAGTGATTGAAGTAGGGGTACATGGACCGGCCCGAGTTGACAATTTAAATACTTTCCCTATACTGCACCCGGCTAGAGTTAAAAAACTTGGACTCTAGTCGGGATTAATTCGTGGTGTATTTTGGTGTGAGTCAGAGGACAATGTGCTGCTCAAGTGTGTGTGTGTGTGGGGGGGGGGGGGGAGATGTTTGTTTGAATGTTTATCATGATTGGTTGAACCGTTAATTGCTAGTATCCTCCCTTGTTTGTGAATGTAAGACGTTGATAAATGCTTATGGGAGTGTGTGCTAGTAATTTTTCTCATATTGTGGTGTTGAATGGTGAAATTTCAGTGTTTTTGGAACCTTGAATGTTACACCCAAATTTTTTCAAATTTGAGGGTTTCAAAACACCTTGTCCTTGCATTTACCTACTCAATGTGCTTTGACTTGATTAAATCGATTGATTTGTGGTGCATCTTAGGTGATAGTTGCATGGTTTGAGTATTAGTATGTGAGGGGTTCTACTACTTTCTTCCTCTTTTGTGAGTTGATAGTAATTGCTACTTTAGGATGGCATTTTGTGCGTGATTCTCTTCTTTATGTGAACTATGAACTTTTTCAATTTGTGCTTAAAAAATAGGAAAAGAGGTTTTCACTTGAGTGGCAACCAGGAAAAGAATTGAGATCAACTGTTGAAGGATTGTTCTCTTGGCTCGGAGTGCCCTTCGAGGACGTGTTTGGGGTTTGGATTGCTTTATTGCATCCCGATCATCTCTTACTACTTACCATCCCCTAAACACCTCTCCTCCTCACGGAATCGTATGATAAGGACCAAAGTTACCTTTTAACGATCCACAAGACCTCATAGCTCTCGTTTGTACCCAACATGTGTGACAACCCAATGTGGAGTGCAGGCTGGGACATTATGCTCCTACTAAGACGAATCCGACCATCAACTTCCCCACATGCGACCTCGAAAGGGAAGGCTATGATTCATCCGCTCTTGGTCATGAGGGAGAGATGCTATAATGCAAAGAATGAAAAAAATTGCAAGAGTTTGGGGCAATGTGCATGAACGAAGAAAAAGGAGACCAAAAATGACAACTCCTACATCAAAAGAAAAGAATATAAGCACCTCCAATAGTTCTAATAATTGTTTGTTGTCTGAGAATCCCCGGTAGCACATTTTTTATGATCGGCCTAAAGTGGTAGATATGGTCCTCACACGGGATTTTGTGCTCACACAGTAGGAAGGTAGTAGCGTTTATTCATCCCCGTATACTCTAATCTATGCAAAGAAGAACTAGCATGCATACCTCATCGATTTGTCTATCATATTGCATAAGGTTTGAGTAGGTTTGCTTGGGGACAAGCAAACGCCTAAGTGTGGGGGAGTTTGTTAACACCAAAATTGGTGTTATTTACCCCACATATCGAGGCGTGTTTTGTGCTAATTCATGTGCTTAAATGCTTGAACATCGTCAAATACATCCCTATTGCGTTCTTATTTGATTTCGATGTGATTTTAGGGTGTATTAGTCGATATGTGCGAATTAGGTATAAAACAAGATCACAAGTGTAGAGAAGGGGCAGGAATTGAAGATTGTGGCCTAGAAGCTGAAGATCACGACCGTGATAGCAAGCCGCGAAGTACATGCGAAGTCGCAGCCCAGAAGCCATAGATCGCGACCGCTATCTTGGAGGCTCATGACGCAAACTTCTCAAGGAAGGATCCTTTGAGAAGCAGAGAGTCTCATTAGTCAAGTTACGGCCAACGTTCACATTGCTCACGAGGAAGATCGCGGCCGCGAATCGAGGATCGCGACCGCGTAGTTAGCCCGCGATCCTCCCCTTTTTGAAGGCCTCGACGACTACATTTTGAGGTCACAGCCGAGAGACTAGAGATCCCCCCGCTATTTCCTTACCTCAGGCCGCAAACTTGTCCATGTCTGCAGATTGCCCAGGCCATGACTTGTGCAACCCCTACTACCTTTTTGCTCATCTCACTGCCTATTTGACGAATTTCACTACTCAGACCGTGATTTCTGTAACTAGCCTGTGACTTGTGCACAACCTCTACTTTTTGGCTCGTTTTGACCTCTAAATGTCCTGGAACACGCGCTTAAGCTTCCCCCTCATACCAAGATATGAGATATGACAGAAGAAACAAACTAGCGTAAAATAGGCCGATGAACAAGTATTTCTAAACCAATCAATCCAGAAATGAGGGTTAAAACATGTATAAATATACACTCATCAATGATAGTGGTAAGATAACGTGAAATTTTTTTGCTAAAAAATATATATAATCTGTTAAAGCATGCAAAGTTTCATCGTCTACAACAAAATTGAAATTTTATGAGCGAACTTATGAAGAAGGATTTACCTAACTAAGGAAATTGAAGAGGACAAGTAGTTCCAACTAGTCCATGAGTAAATTTTCTACATAAATTTTTTTAGAATTCAATATATAACGAATAAGGGCAAAGGTTAGCGTATGCCCGGACGTACCCTAGCCTACCATACGACCGTTAAGTTTTGCTATTTAGACAATGAATTAACCAAAGTTTGGGGCATGATTGTATACCCTAACCCCTAATGGGTGAACCTCAGTCCGCAATTCACTAACGCAAAGTATAATATTCACTTAATCTTGAAATAATGAAAATCAACGGTTCTGATTCGTCGAAATTATTGTTGATTTTCATTTTAAGAATAAACGAATCTCATGATTTGAGTTAGAAAACTAGGGACTGGGTTTTATCCATCAGTAGTTAGGGTATAGTATCATGCCCAAAACTCCGATTAATTCATGATCTAAATAGCAAAACTCAAACGGGCGTACGGTAGTCTAATGTACGCCCGGGTGTATGCTAGAGGGGTTTTTCCATAATTATTGTGATTTAAAAAAAAATTACCCGACATGCAGTGGTTGAAAAAATAATTCCCAATTTATAGTCTCTAAACCGGAATTGGGGCGCGCGCGCCCCAATTGGGTTCCCCAAAAGAGAAAAAGCGAGTAATTAGCATAAATGGTCACAAACCTATTCGCTTTGTACAAAATGGTCACAAACCTTTTATTTTGCACGTTTTAGTAACATACATTTGAGAGAATAACGAAATGGTCATTCCGTCCATCTCCATCCAAAAAACCGTTAGTTTCGTCCAGTCAGCATGCAATGTCACTTAAAATATTAATAACAAAATTAATAACCAAACCTAATTGAACCGGACAACCCTAATTTTATACCCAACCACCCAAAAACCCTAATTCAATCAATAAAAACAAAATTATGTCACCCACCCGAAATTGGAGACAAACAGTCGCTTTCCTCTTTCATCTCGGCTCTACATTACAGAGGGCATATCAGCCTACGAAATGGCCGGCAAAAATCAACGCTCCGGCCGTCTATTGCTTCCCCTAATCGCGGCGCCGCCCTAAAGCAAACGCCCCCGCTGCCGTTCGCTTCTCCTTGTCGGGTCGACGGCCTGAACCAAAGTGCCACCGTCGATCCCTCCCATGCTCGAGTCGCCGACGTGAACTGAAGCCCCCACCGTCGATCCCTCCCTGCTCGAGTCATCGGCGTGAATTGAAGACGCCACCGTCGATCCCTCCCCTGCTCGTGTCGCCGACGTGAGCTGAAGTCCCACTTCACCTGCGTCCTTAAACTACTATATATTGATATTGATTGGTAAGGAGTCAAGTTCTAAGGGGAGAACGAACTTTGTCTTTAATCAACTTCCTTTCCCAGTCTGATACTTCTTCAAAAGCATGTTCTAGAAGACTATCAAATGGTTCTTTTCCAAGAGTCATTCTTTGCCAAATGATAGGTTGCTCCTCTGATGGATCTCTTATTATTAGGTCCCCGTGGATGTCTTATTGATTGAATTAGGGTTTTTGCGTATAAAATTAGGGTTGTGCGGTTCAATTAGGTTTGGTTATGAATTTTTTTATTAATATTTTAAGTGACATGGCATGCTGATTAGACAAAACTAACGGTTTTTTGGATGGAGATGGACGGAATGACCATTTCGTTATACTCTCAAACGTATGTTACTAAAACGTGCAGAATAAAAGGTTTGTTACCATTTTGTACAAAACGAATAGGTTTGTGACCTATATGGGCGTCTGCGCCCCAATTTAACACGACAACTGCCAAAAGACGAATTGGTGCGGCAAAAAGCCCATTGGGGCGCGCACGCCCCAATTGGGTTTGTTGCTGCCCCAATTAGTCTTTTTTCGCCAATATACATATATACAGGTCTTTTCCTCCATATTTCCCCAATTAGGCTGTCGGGAAATCGCCCCATCCATTAACCCGTATGAAATCGCCTCCCCCCTATTGATTGCCCAAACCCGTCAGAAATCGACCTCTCTCCAACTCTCCTTGTTCATTCCGCCGACCATGGAAGGCGAAGAGGTTGACGGTGGAGGAGGGCACCACGTCGACAATCCCGACCGAGGTGGCCGAAGGAGAGGCAGAGGATTTTCCCAAATTAGACCTAGGCTTGTTTCCGTTTGTTTTGCCTGTTGGGAAATTGCTCGTTGGTCTATTCTGGGACGTTGGGAAAATTGTACGTTGAAAAGCAAATTGGGGCGTGCACGCCCCAATTGGACTTATTCTCGCTCCAATTGGGTTTATTGACGCCCCATTTATTTATTTTTGTTGTATACAGGCGTACGCGCCCGAATTAGGCTTTCTACCCAACAAAATGACCAATTGGGGCGCACGCCCCAATTCCGATTTAGAGACAGTAGATTAGGAAATATTTTTTCAACCACTACATTTCGAATATTTTTTTTTAAATGACAATAATTATGGAAAAAAGCCTATGCTAGACTCAACCAACGAATGAGATATAAAAATCCAAACCAGCCAGAAAACCTGCCAACTAGCTGTCGAAATCCATAATTTCCCCTAGCCACGATGTGGAATATAAAATTTGATTTTACGAATCTGCATATAATATGAGAGTTTTTTATTGGAACTTCATCCATAAATTATTCATAAAATACAACAATAGTCAATACAAGTTTAGGAGTATCAGTCGTTACAAAAAATTGAAAGGCGTCTCAGTCGCTCACTCAACTCAGTCTCAAGTCTGAATTCTGAACTCTCCTTTCTAGTCATCACCTCCGGTACTCTTACTCCATTCAGTCATTTCTTCTGCGGAAGGAATGTCGCTCCAATCATCTGTACAAAGGGGTATGGAAAACACTACAAGAATCTGCTCTTTTGATTTACTTTTACCTGAACATGCTTTTGCCTTTGCGCCTTTTATCAATTACTTTGTTTGGTGCTGTAGTGAGAAACCTCGGTGGATTAAGGCCTCAGATCTTCGGTTCCTTGGGAAGGTTTCACTCCACTACTACTGCTACCGAAGCTTCTTCTTCTCCTTCATCCGATCAAACTTCCCCTTTGGTAATCGGTTTTGTTCCGAGTCCTTAATGGTTTTCTGTTTGATAACTTCGAAATCACATACAAAATTCAAAACTTTTGAGATGTTGGACGCTACTCCGGCTTTCAACCACCATCATTTTGTTCACTCTGCTGATATTGTGAATTTGAATCAGTTCATATTTGGATGAATGATTGGATTAGGTAGTTATCAGCTTCGTAATAATGTGTTTATTTTTACTTGGTGGTTGGCAGAGGGTTCCCAATCTCATAGGAGGTTCATTTGTTCATTCAAAGTCACCTTCAACAATTGATGTGATCAATCCGGTGAGTATATGAAGCATATTTGTAGTTTGGAATGATTCTGAAATTATGAGTTTGGGTTGTTGGATTCTAATCAATGGTAGTTTCGACTAGGCCACTCAAGAAGTTGTATCTCAAGTTCCCTTAACCACACATGACGAGTTCAAAGCTGCTGTCATTGCTGCGAAGAATGCTTTCCAGTCATGGCGCAATACTCCAATTACCACCCGCCAGAGGGTCATGCTGAAGCTCCAAGACCTTATCCGGAGAGATAAGGCAAGCATGCCAACTTTTTGTCCTTCTATTGCTAAGCACAAAATACCTTCTTCTGAATTTATGTGTAAACTCAATGATGATGATATTGCAGGATAAACTTGCATTGAATATCACAACCGAACAAGGGAAGACATTGAAAGATGCACATGGAGATGTGTTTCGTGGCCTAGGTTTAATTTCTTATTTTCCGGTGCTGTTTTGTGATGTCTCTGGTGGGCTAAGGTTTGAGCTCCATTGATCACTGTTCTATATTTTCTGGATTTTCCTCATTGCAGAGGTGGTGGAACATGCTTGTGGAATGGCAACCCTCCAAATGGGAGAGTATGTTTCTAATGTGGCACATGGAATCGACACATATAGCATCAGAGAGCCACTAGGTGTATGTGCTGGAATTTGCCCATTTAACTTTCCTGCTATGATTCCATTATGGGTAAGTTTCATGCTATAGGATATCTTGTTTCACGTTCTCATTTTGCTTTGAGCCCCTTCGCTTTTGAGAATACATGTCTGGGCAATGTGTTGTTAATTCAGGACAGGGGTCTTATATATGTTCGTTTTACTGCAGATGTTCCCCATTGCAGTTACATGTGGCAATACCTTTGTTTTAAAGCCATCAGAGAAAGATCCAGGTCTTTGTTCATCATTATTTTGCTGACCTACTGCAATGTTGTTTGCGTATGGAACTAGAAGTTCTTAGTCTTAAGAATCAGGTGTTTGTGTACTGTAGTCTGATTACTAATATTTGGTCCCTTGTTATTCATATCCTGATATTTTTCCAGCTCATTGCTTGCTGTATTTTTTTTCCTGTGTAAGGAATATTGAATATGTTTTAGTTTCCTATGACATCCCTAACTCAACTAACTTTCATTTTCCCCTATTCTAACTATAGAAAATCACATGGTGGCTTATATATATGCCATACTGGGCCTCACAGGCCAGGTGGAATTTTATACACTCAATATTGTAGCACAAGCACTTGATTCCGTTCCTTTTGACATATTCTGTTATTTTTCGTGCAAAATTATCACCAAATAAAATTGAGTGTTTCTTGTTTGCATGGATTAGTAAAGAGGCATAATTTCTTGCTTTTCAATCAGTTGCCTTTTTTTTTTTTTTTTGGTCTTATCCTATGGAAGTTCTAACCTTGTTTCCAGCTAACTACAGTCTGAGAAAAGGTTGAAAGAAGTCATCTCTTTTTATCTTCGTAAAGCAGTAATAAAATTTGTACTCCTTTGTACTGAGTGATAGCTTAATCGTCCAATGTTTCACCAGGGGCTTCGGTAATTCTTGCCGAATTGGCAATGGAGGCTGGCCTACCAGATGGTGTTCTGAACATTGTCCATGGCACCAACGTATGTACATAGTGGTCAGATTCTCTACCGCTTCTAGCTTTCTATCCTGAATCTTGATACTCTTTGGAAATGAATAATAAGAAAAACTGAAAGTGTGAAATATGTCAAGGGTCGTCGTAGTGTTCAAATTTCAGAATATGGTAAGCAAATTTTCTGGCTTGTACTAATCTGTGACGCTCAACTGTGGTGGGCCTTATTCTGACTGTGGATATTCCTCACTATGCTCCAAAGATGAACTGCCGATTTCTCAATAGTGATCAACATATGCATTCTTCTGCCATAAAATTTCCCCCCGTCAACTCTTTCTCTTTGATGCGGGATATTGTCAATGCTATTTGTGATGAAGAGGATATCAAAGCTGTTTCCTTTGTTGGTTCTAATATGGTAAGTCATTGTTGCGAGTCAATGATTAAGTTCTTATATAAGTCTTGGATATATGCTCCTACTTCCTTGATAGTTGAAGCACGACATATGTACTGTATTTTTTTGTAAGAGAAACACAAAGATAGTGTGATACCTTTTGATCTGTCTTATTCTGACCCTGCTTCTCAACTAATTGGTATTTCAATTTTCCAAAAGATCCAGCAGACTTATTTTGTGTTGTATCAGCTTTTCATTTTGTCCCTTGTGATAGGTTGACAACACATTTCAGTCCCTAATATTTTGTGGTTCCCTTCATTTTGGATATAGCTGTTATTGTGCTTTCAAGATTGCTGCTTTCAGTCCCTAAGACACTTGTTGCTATTTGTAAATTTATATCGTTCTACATCTCATCTTACTTTTGTGCTACTAAATCAAAAGGCAGGCATGCACATCTATACAAGAGCATCTGCTGCAGGAAAGCGCGTTCAGGTTGGCTCAATTCATTCACAATAGACTTTTGTCTCTTCTTCACAGTGCTTTAAACTGTTTGGCACGATTCTGTGTCGGATTAAATGCGTATTTTGTTTTTTATGCTGTTCAGTCCAATATGGGTGCAAAAAATCACGCAATAGTGATGCCTGACGCCAACATTGACGCTACTATAAATGCTTTGGTTGCTGCTGGTTTTGGTGCTGCTGGTCAGAGGTGCATGGCACTGAGCACAGTAGTTTTTGTTGGCGATTCAAAACCATGGTATACTATGCAACTCCTGTAAGTTTTATTCTCATTTTATTTTTGAGCATAAATTGTTAATGCTCTTTGTTTCTTCCAGGTTGAATAGACTTGTACAGTCTGCAAAAGCTTTGAAAGTAAATTCAGGAACAGAACCCGATGCTGACCTAGGTCCAGTAATTAGCAAGCAGGTATTACTCTTGATCTTTTTCAAGTCTGCGCCTGATGTGAAGTTGATTCTTGAACTCATCATCTTCATTGTATTATGAGTGGTTTGGTTGATGATGCTCCTAAATATTTATTCCCTTATTGCGTGTATACTGAATTTACTGTGCTATTAATCTTCTATCTTTACAGTCCAAGGAACGGATACACAGATTAATTCAAAGTGGTGTCGAAAGTGGTGCCGAGCTAGTACTTGATGGGAGAAATATAGTGGTATCTTCATCCGTAGTTCATGCTCTCTTCTATCCATTTTATCCTTCCCGAGTAGCAGAAACCTCTGAGCTTCTTTTTTCAAAGATGGGCGCCTTGTGCTTTATTTGGTCAATTAATGCTAGATTAGCTGAGAGATATTTTACCCAGCTTATTGGTTTCTTTGTGTGGGTAATAGGTTCCAGGGTATGAGAATGGCAACTTTGTTGGTCCAACCATCTTAGCAGGTGTCAGACCAGATATGGAGTGCTACAAGGTACAGGTTGCATTTTGACTAGTTGAATTTTCACGAAAAGCAGTTTTTCCCCCCCTCATACTGTACCATCTCATCCGGGAAAAACACTGCACATTGCCAAATGCATTTGATATGGAAAAAAATTTGGTAGAAGATTTGATGATTCTACTGGTTTGAAACATTCTGCTTCCAGGAGGAAATCTTTGGCCCAGTTCTAATCTGCATGGAGGTGAGTGAAGCTAACTTCTTCACTTCTTCAGTTTCTCTCTAGTAACACCTTCGGTGGATTGATGACTGATGATTTACTCGTTTCACTTGTTTGTTATCTGGTTGTTAGGCTGACAGCTTTGAAGAAGCAATCAGTATTGTGAATAGAAACAAGTATCGTTTCCTTAATTTGCTTCCCTCTTTCCTTTCTCATTTGATGTATCTTTACCTAAGCATCTTAGCTCACCTGTGGAAACTTAATTTCGTGGCAGATACGGTAATGGAGGTTCCATCTTTACCACAGCAGGTGCTGCTGCGCGGAAGTTCCAGACCGAAATAGAGTGTGGACAGGTAAAATTAAAGCTTTAAAATCTTCCATTTACTGCCGTTCAAGTGTTACGTCCTCAATACTCCACAGAACTTGAACTGTCTTTAAGCACAACCTGGTTTCAATACTTGATCTTTGGACTAGTAGTTCAGGAATTGACATGATGTTTGTGCGATTGATTTAATCTTTTCCCCCACTACTGTATTCTTAGGTTGGTATCAATGTTCCCATCCCGGTTCCATTGCCCTTTTTCTCCTTTACTGGCAATAAAGCGTCATTTGCTGGAGATCTGAATTTCTATGGTAATTCAATCCCTTTCTCCAAAAACTTCTTAATACCTGATTACATTATAGCCCGAGATGGCAGCATATTGAGGGTGGATGTTTATGTCGTGTGAATTTGGTTACAGGCAAGGCAGGAGTGAGCTTTTACACACAGATGAAAACAGTAACCCAACAATGGAAGGATTTGCCAGATGGAAGTGGAATTTCACTCGCAATGCCTACTTCTCAGTAGCAATATAAAATTAGTTATATGCTGTCTGTGACTGACTGGCTCTCTTCGCACACCTTTCTTTTTCTTCACCGGCCTACCCTTCTCTTCAACGTTTTAGGTCTGAGTTGTGTTTTCTGTTGAAGCTGTAAATAACTTCGTCCAAGTTGAACCGTCGTTTAGAATTTTGCAATAATTCAGCCGCCTGTCTTACATTGTTTTGCCATTTTTTTACTTCAGTTTCTGCTTGTGGGTGAGCTTTCGAAATTCAAACGGTAGTTTGATAACATCTAAATAGTTATATTTTATGTCAGGTTTTTAGGCGTTTAATGCTAGGTGTAGCTGTTTGGAAATATTTCATGAACAAGCACGATTTTGGTTGATTTAGGTATGAATTGGGTATTTGGGGGCCAAGTGTAGAGACAAGGACCATGAAGATTGGAGTCTCACGGTTGAGGCTGGCCGTGAAACGGTTTACCAGATTCATGGCCCAGGAGGCTTGAATAGGGGGTGTCAGTTCGGGTCGGGTTCGGTTACCCGAACCGAAACCGAAAAAATCCGAAAACTCGAAACCGAAAACCACTAAAACCGAACCCGAATTCGATAAGGACTTGCGAGTTCCGGTTACCCGAAACCCGAAAATTCCTTATTGGGTTCGATTCGATGAAAGCAAAACCGAAACTCGAAAAACCCGAACGCCTAAGAATACGGGCTGAGTTCTATTACAGAGTGAACTCCCTCCGACTGTAAATGCTATAACAAAATTGATTTGAGAAGATCATATCGCTCCCAAGCTTCATGTAACAATTCTCTAGCTCCTTGTTTGAAGGTGAAGATCTCTCTTCAAAGTAGAGAAGCTTTTTGATGGCGGCAGATGATGAATTTCTCATAAGAGGGGGTGGTTGGTTGGCAAACCAGTCCTTAGTTATTCCATTCAACGAGAATAAGAACAACCTTAGTCGGATAGCATCTTGAGTAAACCCAACCAACTTAATTCCATAGATAAAGAGGAGGAAATATTATACATGAGTGTGCGAGTCCTCCTCGTCTTCCAAACCATGGAATTCAATATTATATTAGGGTGCGTTTGGATAAGTGTATTTTAAATGTAAGGTATTTGAAATACTAACATTTGAAATGGATGTATTTGAAGTATTAGCATTTGAAATACATGTAATTCAAATTCATTGTTTGGATACTCATTTGTAATTTGTTTGTATTTTTGTATTTATGATTTTCAATTTCAATTTTTAATTTTCTGGTCACTTACTACAAATTTTGGTAAATTACAGTTTGGTAACCAAAATTATTTTTTCTTACAATTTAGTACCTAAACTTCTAAAATTTTACAAAAAGGTCCTGAAATTTTGATGGTAAAATTACATTTTGGTACCTTTATATGTTTTGCCTCACACTATAGTACCTAAACTTTTTATATTTTACCAATAGGTCCATTCTTTTGTTAGGAGGTATTTCAAATCACTAGTTGTTGAAATGTATTTGAAGTTGACAAAAAATACACTAGACATGTATTTGGAAATCACCCCATGAATTTGACACAAATCCAAATACCAAATGTAATTAATATCCAAACACATGATTTGGTATTTGAAAATCCAAATCACAAATACCAAATCCAAATCCTAGTATCCAAACACACCCTTAGTGGAATACTGAATCATGGTTATTACACTCGTCTTTATATTCAAAGTGAGGTTCTATGAATGTTTGTTTGGAGTTTGGATATCGTCACTTGTGGAGGTGGCTTTTGGCCACCAAAACTATCCATTCCATTCACACATGACATAGCTACACACATTTAGCAAACACCCGTGAACAAGGGCGGAGCTAGGATTTTGTGTTTGGGGGCCGAAAATGTTTCGTATACTATCGTAACTAGACAAAAATTAAAATAATTATAGAACTATATAAATAAATTAATTTCGTGAATTATCAAAATATACGACATGTTTTGTCAAATAATTAGATTGACATTGTTGTTAAACTTATCGGGTGGAATTTTTCCATTAAAGCTATAAATTGTAAAAAACTCCAACCAAAAAATTGACATAAGTGGGGTCATGTCAAATAATTAGATTGACATTGTTGTTAAACTTATGGGGGGAATTTTTCCATTAAAGTTATAAATTGTAAAAAACTCCAACCAAAAAATTGACATAAGTGGGGATTGAACCACTGACCTGCCGAATACAGAACCACTACAACTCCACTACGGTAATCAGCTTCTATAGATACATTTTAACCCGTGGCCATTATTATAAAACCTGTATTTACTTCGTAATTTTCAGAATACTCGTACATTCTTTCATGATTTTCGAAATTCTCGGGGGGGCCGGGGCCCCCCTTAGGCCCTGTGTAGCTCCGCCCCTGCCCGTGAATGCAAAAGGGGCAAACCAACAACAAAAATAAAGTGCAAGTAAATGGTTAAATAGTAACTACACCCTTTACACAATAATCGAATTGGTCCCCGACAGCGGCGCCAAAAACATAATTCGCTATTTAAGTGATAAAACTAGGTTGTAAACTATTCTAACTACCCCAACCTAGGACAAGTGCATCCTAACTTGGCGAGGTAATATAGAGGTGACCCTCGAAGTCATATTCTGACGAGTTATCGGATTTGTCACTACTTCATTACTACCTAACCAATCTATTGGTTGGTAGAATATGTTACTCAAACACAAAGGAAACTAAATTACACTTAGGAACTAATGCAATAGAGATGAGGTACTTGGGATGGGTATCCCCCTACCTCTATCATGCAATTGAGTGAAAGTAACCTTCATGTACTCCCCTAATCGTTTTATGATGCAAGAACCTTCTAGGCTAGTACCTAAGTTTTTTTTTTCATGCTGTTAGTCAATGGTCATGCAACCAACAAATCCTTAGAGCTTGAGGCCTAGATTATTAAATTGGGGACTACCTCAATGGCAAATGAGACTTCAATTAAATGGTCATGCAATTAAATCTTATACTAATTTATGTGAGTTCTAATCTCAACCTTAGGGGATGGTCGCCTCACTTAGGTCAAGAACAATCAATCAATCACCTTTACTAAAGTAAGTGACTGGCATAATCAAACATCTAATAATCATAACAAGTAATTAGGGTTCGTACGTACCAATTCCATCCACATTCAATTATATAATTGAGCTAGGGCTCAACTTACCAAAATACAAGGGATTTTAGCCCATTAATGGAGGAGAAGAAGAAAACAAGAGGGGGGAAGAGAAGATTTATCTTCTTCTTATTGAATTGCAACCTTCTCTTTGACTCTGGGATGGATTCTTCGTTCCTTTGCTCCCTTTGCTCTTCCTATGTGTTTCCTCTCACTAAAAGCTGCCAAAACCACAATTTCTCACTATAGATTGAATCCCCTTCGTCAAGTGCTGAAAATGGGATTTTATAGCAAAATCTGGTGTACGTGTCACGGCCACAGGGCATGAATAAATGGTCATGGTGGTGACCTTGGCCGTAACCTGGAAAATGACATAAAATTGTAATTTTTTTCTACGTCATGACTTCGTTCACAAGCGCTAAGATCCTTGTCTCGATCTTTGAGTACACGACCGTGATCCCCCAATCGAAGCCATAGTTTTATGTGTTTTGGGCATTTCATCGAGCACTTGATGGGCGACATTCAAACTACACAAATTCATAAAGATAGGCCCCACTAAGGCCTCCAAACACACATACATTCTATGATCCCATTCTACTAACCATGCCATACCCTAGCCATAAGTAGCTTAATTGGTAGGCTAAACTAGCACACATCCTCAACACAAACAATTGCAACCTTTCCTTAAGCAACTAGTTAGTCACTAACAAGCATTCATATAATAATTGACATAAAACGGATTCATTCACTAGCTAAAACTAAAAAAAAAATTACTAAAAGCAAAATAAAAAATGCAAGTTTTATTTTCGAAAAGTAAGGAAATGCAAACCGGTTGTCAGGGTACCTCCCAACTAGTGCGTCTTTCAAGTCTTATCGCCTGACACTTATCTTCAAGTATTCGGTCCAACTTAGAACCTCCTCGAAGTTGAGGTTTTCGTTGGTGAGGTGGTGGCTCAAGTCACGAGCATTGGACGAGTCCATGATTGAGGGCTCGTGAACTTGAATCATCACGAGGCTCCACCCATGAGACCTCTCCTTCTTTCCTTCATCCTTTTTCTCTTTGCCCCACGCCATGTAGTGCATACTGGATTGTCTTCCATCGCATCCACCAAGAGGAATCGTCGATGGTTTGGCCTTAGCTTGGCAAAAAGCCGCAAATGGGTCCTTCTCCAAAAGTGCATCGAGATCGAGTGGAAAGCTTTGATAGCACTTGTAATTTGTTGAAGCTTCATCCACCACGATCTCGTGCTCATCATGGATGATTCGGGCCTAATTGTGCACAATTTATCCCCGTTTCCCTTGGGCGTTTATGGAATTTGTGCTCCTAAAAGGGTGGTTTTACGCTAGGTTTCTTGTGTTTCAGTGTGTTTCAGGATCTAACAGGTGAAACCAGCCCCAGAGTCGGAAGTTGGAAGAAAAGGAGCAAAGACCGGGCAAAGAGAGTGATTTAGGCCATGTTCATGGTTTCCCATTGGAGTTCACGGTCTTCTAAGGCCGTGAACTGGAACCATAAACCATGAACCGCGAAGCGTCCAGGGCATTTTCAGAGGTTATTGATTCCGAGTGAGTTCACGGTCACCAAGACCGTGAACTTTGACTGCAAAGCGTGAACTCAAGTGAGTGAAGTGGTGCATTTTGACACAACACTCCGAGTTCACGAACGCGTTGAGGAGTTCATAGTCGTGCACTGAAGCCGTGCATTGGGCCCGATCCTAGTATATAATGTGAGCTGAAAGGAAGAGAGAGGGAGAGCTTAGTGTGAGAAAGCATCTTCTTCTTCAGAATTTAGAGAAAGAAAGGACGAACCAAAGAAGAAGCGAGGCTAGGGTTTGCTCCAACTGGTGAATTGGGAAGAATCTCCCAAGATAAGACCAACACAAGATCAAAGGAGAGTGGAGGCATCACCATGATGGTTTCTATTCTTTCTTTTGTGTTCTCCCCCTTTTAGCATGGAGTAGTTTCCTACTTCACTTGGGTATTGTGAAACCCTAATTATATGCCATGTAGTTGTTGTGTGAATTAAATTATTGTTTATGGGTGTTGTTTAATTTAATGATTGAGGTATTTTCATGATGATTGTGTATGTTCGTGTTTGGCAATATAATTGGCCATTCTAACCTAGGTTAGAGGGGAAACCCCCCTTTCCAAAGAGGCTCAATTGAGTTGGGAGTCCTTGAGATTTTCAAGCCACCTACCTAGGTTAATGTAGGGCAAACCTCTATCTTGAATTAAACGACTAGGTTAATCGTGTTTAAGCCGTC